TAGTACTGGTAATGACAGGTCTAGTTCATTATAAATGAGAATTGTAGTTAAAATAATAACAGTTCAACGGAAATGCGGTTTCAATAAAAAAATTAATAAATTCAAAATGAGTCTAAATTTTCACCCTCACTTTGAAAATCAAATATAAGAAATAAGTTTGGAAGTCCTACGTTATTCTACAAACCAAAAAAAAAGTGGAACGTTAGAATGAATGTAACGCTATTGTAGTAGCATAGAATGACTAACGTTAATGTTAATTTTAAGGTACTGAAATAACTGTTTGCTTGGTTGGTTTATGGTAAATAGACTAAGTTTGAACTGCCAACGATATTAAAAGTAGCTGGCCGGCATCACCCACGCCCACATCAGTTTAGTTGATTGTTACTTTTATAATGTGCCGATAGCTGTAAAGCACGAGTATGTTTTGGAAGTAACGAGTTTCGATTCCACGACCCTTCGATCACGAAATGAACGCCGTAACAACTAGGCCATGCTAGGCCTAATAAAAACTTCCGATGAAAGTAATCTAACAATATATATAACTGTCCCAACTTAAATTATACGAAAAGTTGGGTCAAATAACATCATAAATTTAATGATAAACGAAAGTCACACAAAAGGTATAAATGCCTCAAATAATATAACAGGATAGGTAAAATGGTAGAATAATGGTTAAGTCGTGTAATTTATAGTACTACAACACGGTTTCGATATTAACTGTGAATACTTACTGAGCAACCTTTTGTGCAATTTTGCTCAAAATAAACAACATGAATACAATAAACTGTATTAAACTAAATCCATAATATATAAAATAAGTAGGCCTACTGTACTTCTTTCTGACTGATAATAAATTAAATTTCGACGATATAAGTAACACAAAAAGTGTAGTAAAATAAATATACACTTAAATACCAAATACCACGGTCAAAGATTTTTTGTTCGCCTAAAACTTAAAACTGATGAACTATTTTCCTTAAATGCTACGTACTCTTTATACGTGTGTAAACTGTTCTCTTCCAGGCAATGTTGGCTAGCCTATTGTCAGCTACCATGATGTTAAGGTGACCGCCCAGTATTCCGAAGGCGCGATAGCCACAGATTTAATGGGTCGAGGATATCATATTATAATATTCGTTGTCACAGCACTATGAAATAAGAATCCTGAATGTTCATTCTCTCAGAAGAGCTAGATTCCCAAAATATGCGAGCTCTGCAGCTGACATTATTCATGCATACAAGAAAATAACATCGGGAAATGATGATAAACATTATCTATCCAATCATGAGAAATTGCAACCTTTTAGATCATATCCTTTGTCATAGAATTTCACATATTTAACCAAACAATCAATTTAACATTTTAGCTTAAAAAAAAAACACACACACATTCGGGCTATCGGGTCTTCGGAGTAATTGGCCCTCTGACTAACGGACTGTCACCAACTTTTAACCTAGTACGGTTGTGACTTCGCTGGTAACTTACCAGTACATCTAACCAACCAAATAATGGAATTTTACGAACTTATGACTGAAAGTAAATAATATGTTAACCACACAAATATCTGCTACATCTAGTGCTTACAAGGCCTTTCGTAGAATACCAGGAGTTATCAGGCCAGCTGAGATACGCCAGACATAGTAGTGGTCGAGATGCTATTTATATCATCAAACTGCTTGTAGAAAAACTGGTTCAACGTGAACTAGATTAAATTGGTGAACTGAAATTTTTTTCTGCAGTTGTCAAAACATACCGTCTGGTTTATTCAAATTACTCATTTCTGAATTTGAAGTAATATATGTATTCCTATGAACCAATATCGTCATTTGCTACTGTCTGGGTATAGTTGAAATTAAACAAAGATCTAATAAACTTGGCTAAATAAGGCAACTACTAAAATTTCAAACATATGTAGACTTACCTCAATATTGTATTTTTTTCTTCATTGACGACTATACTGTGGCTTTAATGAATCCATTTTAATTAGTAACGGCTTGCACCCGATGTTTAAACATTTAAATCTTTTCTCACTCTTTCTAGATTATCAGAGAAAAACTGGAAATGGTGATGATAGTTACTGATTTTAACATCTTGATTTAACTTGCTATACTTTAACCCGGAAAGAGAATTATCACGTGAATCTTGCGTCACGTGTTGGAGAGGTATGGGCTTACTACATACTCCTATTCACACGCGCAATCCCTCAATTGCACGATACAGTCTTTTACTACTGTTTTTCCGCCCTCGGTCAGCTCATTTGTCCTTAGTCAACCTGGTGACCCTAGGCTCTCAAACGTCACCATACTGATGACGAGCTTATTGGCGACACCGCCCAATCAATATTGGTCAGTATGCAGCATGAACTCCTTCCCTCAAACAGTTAGTTGTTGTTGTTCGTCCTTCGAAGTTTGAAGAAGACCACGACATCATTTGGTCTATCTGTGGATACGG